TGAAAATGTTAGTTTGTCTGGAACTGAACTTGCAATTAAATGTGGCAAATGTGTTAATACTGTAAAATTACCTGTTTCATTGTAACTCGTAAATAAAATAATAAATGTAACTTATAAAGCCATATATAAAGTTCTTACATTATCTTAATTAATTATATTAATATTGATTAGTATACAGTTGATAGAAAAAAATGAACAGTTATAAAATGAGCAGAACGATATAAAATAAACGGGACGAAACGAGTGTGGGACGAACAAGTATGGGACGAAACGAGAGCTAATTAAAGAATACGGGACGGAACGAGAGTAATCCATTCTAAGCAGTTTTCTTCTAAAGCAAGAATAAATTTCCTTCTATCTAACTCTATTTACTTCAACACAAAGCCTTATAATATAAAAACACGTTGTAAACACCTTATAATATAAAAATACATTTACTGACGCCATGATACAGTCTATTCTACTTAATATCTTATCTTATTTATGTACATGACAAATTTTATTTTCTATCAAACACAGAAAGAGAAAAAACAAATGCTTTCCTCTAAAAATGGAAGGCTATGCCTTACTTCGAAAATAGAAGTAAATATCTTACTTTCAAAAAGAAAGTAAATTCCTAACTACGAAACCGAGAGTAAGCCTTTTACTCTCAAAATGGGAATAAATATTTTACTCCAAAATTGAGAGTAAACTCCTTACTCTGAAAATGGGAATAAGCGCTTTACTTCGAAACTGAGAGTAAGCCTTTTATACTCTAAAAATGAGAGCAATTGTCTTACTCTGAAAATACGAGTAAAAAACGCTTTACTCTGTGAGATATTCTCATAAGTCAAAGATCTAATTTTCGGAGTAAATTTTTTCAAAAAGAAGAGGGGAGGATCACTCACTCTCTCCCTTATCGGGGCGTCCCTGGATAGCAGAGTTACGTGGCCAAGTCGTTTGGCATTATGGTGCGCTGTTTGGTATCATATTGATAAATTCACAAAATGTATTGTAACAAATATATATGAAAGATTTTTTCCATCATAGAAAGCTCGTTCAAAATCCAGTCTTAGATAGAACAATTTTTAATCCACGAAAAATACGGCAGAATTACATGATTCACTCAACTCGTTAGATGTCTTTGGTTTAACTTTTGACTTTACCATTCATAGTGCAATTGTTCAGTAGATAAAACTGAACATTCAAACTCTACACTGCTTTCTTAAGTCAAACAAAGGTTTTCACCAAATCTGATTTCAAATACGAACACACTGCATGTTCTTTGCTGTTCACTAGCTATCTGTCCTTCCCTTTTTCGTATGAAAAGACCAACGATTAGCCCATGTATGGATAAAGGGTATGACCGCAGACGTCTACTAATCACTTCATTCACAGGCACTTTTTGCAAGATTATGGCTAATCGCTTCCATCTGCGTTGTTGAAAAGACAACAGATCATTTTTATATAAGATGATCAAAATCAGTTTCTAATATTTCGCTGTTTATTCTGATCCTTCTTGTATCACATAATCATACTAGCTCTTTAAAGTACTGGTTTTCTTTTCCATACAAGTAAGTATAACTTTTGATATTCGCTCGGATCCCTTGATTAAAATATCATCCAGCTGTCCCAGGCTGACCCGAAGAGGTTGGGATTGGAGGGGACGTCGACAGATTTTTAATATTCGAAACATCGGCCCTTATTGAATATTTTGCAGACTTTGTTCAATTAAAATTGTACCGTCTTGTTTAAAGCTGAGTTATCATATACGTATTAGTTTAGAGGTAAGAGTAAAATTATCATATCACACGGAAATCTTGAAATAAAATTTTCTAGGGTCTCATACCAAGATGCTTCACTACATAACTAAACATAAGTATCTGAATGCGTAGAAGAATGCGACATCTATATAAAAGGTGGAATCAGCTAGTTTTCTTTCACTATTCCACACATTCAATATATATATAGCTAGCAGTCTGCAGTTATTGCAAATAGGCACAATGGATATTTACTCTTTACAAATGATTTTCATCGGTCTGTAAACTGTCTAATCGAAAGTAGAGATTCACTTTTGAATGAGTCACTTTTTGGTTCCTCTTGCTATTCTTCATTGGTCATGGGAAGCTAAAATCACTTTCTAAAATCACTTATGATTTTACAGTAGCATTCACGATTTTCGACCAATCAGAAGCAGTCCATGATTTATCGCCCAGCAGATCTATCGTGACGTAGAGACTAAAGTTAGAAAATGTTCAATGATGAAAAGTGATTTTAGCTTCCCATGACCTTCTTCTCTTCAGGGGCAAATTCCTTCCTCTACTACTCCAGACTTGCCAACGATGGATAAACAGCACCTCGACTTCTCCATACGAGACGTTGAGCGTTTACTTCAGAAATTGGATAAAAACTCTACTGTTAGTCTTGATGGAATTCCTTCCTTCCGCTCTTCTTGTGCTGATATTCTCTCACCTCACCTTCACTTCATTTTTCATCTGTGTCTTTCTACTAGCAATTTTCCAACTTTATGGAAAACTGCATTCATTGTACCTGTTCATAAAGAAGGCGCTCTTGCTGATATTTCTAACTATCGCCTTATTTCACTTCTTGTTATCTCTAAAGTGTTTGAACGTCTAATTTATAATTTTATTTTTTCTCATCTCTCTAAACACTCTTTTTTTGTAAACAAACAGTTCGGTTTTCGTCCTAAACATTCTACTCTGGATGCTTTGTTGTTTTTATCTTCAATCGCCTTTAACTTTTGGAATGCTGGTGTAAAGTGTGTTGGTGTATCTTTTATTTTTTCTAAAGCATTTGACTGTTCCTCATTCTCTCTTGTTAGAAAAACTATCTCGTTGTGGTGTGTGTGTGATTCTTTGTTGTCTCTCCTATCTTCTTATCTTTCGAACCGTTCTCAGTGTGTGCATGTGAATGATTCTGTCTCCTCTTCTTCTCCTGTTCCTTCTGGTGTTCCTCAAGGCAGTGTGCTTGGGCCTCTTTTATTTCTTATTTTTACTTAACGATCTACCCCTCTGTCACTTCCACCTAATTGTGAAATCTGTCTCTTTGCTGATGATGTTTTTTTGATTGTTCCTCTTTCCTCTACTGATTCTTTTAATTTATCTCATGTTCAAAACTGTATAAACTCGGTTTCTCACTGGTCTTCTTCCAATCTCATGTCTTTGAACGTTTCTAAATGTCGTTGGCTTCCTTTCTCATTCAACCTCTTTCCGTACGTTTATAATCAATTGTATCTCAATGATGCTCCTTTCTCCGTTGTGTTTTCTGTTCGTTGTCTTGGTGTTCTTGTTTCGCACGATCTTAGATGGAATGATCATGCCAAGAACATAGCTCTTGCTTGTCGGCGCAAGCATTGAATCGTATCTTTGGATTAGCTCCAACTGAAGTTCGGCGTCGAATCTATCTTTCTTCTATTCTTCCTAAAATTGACTTGACTATTGCTGTGCCTTGTATGACAGTTCGTTTTCTCTTACTGTTCTTGATTCTGTAAACAAACTTGGTTCTCGTGTTATTTCTCGCAATTTTGATTATCGTTCTTCTAGTTTTCTACTTGTGTCTCAACCTTCTCTTCCAAATCTCTCTCTTCGTCGTAAATACTTTAGACTTCTACAGTTTTTTAAAGTTTATCATCGCCTAAGTCCTGTTTCTCTCTTTTACACTATTCATCATCCTCACTACTCATCTTTACGTCTTCATCACTCTAAATATGTTCGCATTCCATCTTCTGTTGATGGTTTTTCTCTGCAAATGGTGCATTCTTCTTTTTTTTATTCAGCTATTGCTGACTGGAATAATTTCCCAGAGTTAGTTATTCGTCTTTCTTCTTTTACGTCTTTCAAAACAGCTTTACTACAGTATCTCTTCCAGTGAAACGTTTGTTAGTTAAGAATTTATATTTGTTCTTTTTTTGTTTATTGTTTTATTTTTTTTTACTACTGATTGTAACCTTAATTGTCTTGTTTATTTTGTTATTTTTTATTACTCTTTTTGTGTTGTTTGGCTTGAGTCATTGTTATTACAGGTCGGTGACCTTTGATGACTCTCACTTTTCGAGAATAAAACAGTCTTAGTCGTGATAATCAGAAATAGCCGTCTATTGCAGGAAAAAATCACTTTAGGAATCATCACTTTACATCCTTCTAGAAAAGTAGCAAGAACATAAGGTATGCACAGCAGAAATGCATTTATATAGGATGGGCCAGAAGGTCTGAAGCACTTTTCTATTAAATTTTTATCCTTATTGACTTGCGTTTAAAAATTTAATATTTAGCTGAAAAGATAGTGTCGATTTTATTTTGAAATTAATTTTGAATCGTCGGTGTATAAGTAAAAAAACAAATGATTCGTTACGAAAACTGATCACCTATCTAATTGAGGCTTTTCTTAGCGAATCTCACTAAAAGTATTTATTAATCAAAACACCATACACCATTAACATGGATTTTCTACGTAAGTCAGTTAATTTAGGGCTTTCTTTCTCTTAAAAAAGACTAATCATTTAATACAACTGGTGTCAGATTGTATAGCGTAAAATTCTGCATCTTTTGACATTAAAATAATTGTCTGAAAGTTGAATTGAGAGATCGACAACGATTTGCAAAAGAAGTTAAATTTATTGTGTGAATCAGCATATTTTAATATTGTGAATTTTCTGCTGAAATTTGGAAAATACTTCCAGACAAAATCGACAGTTTTCTAGAGAATTAAGTTGTCTATCTTTTGAGCTAAATATTAAATTCGTAAACGCAAGTCAATAGGGATAAAAATTTGATAGAAAAGTGCTTCAGGACTTTTAGCCCACCCTATATATGTTTTCTAATGTATTCCTGTGGTAAATTAGCACCTGAATACATTGTAAAAACAGATTTTTCGTGACATTATCTTTAATTAGTTAAAACTTTTGTACGCTCAAAACAACGTACTTTGGACGATGATGTCACAGAAAGAAGAAATAACAGAGTAGAAAATCAAACGTGTAATAAAAAAAAGAAGTGTATTTTCAGATATCTTGTAAAAGTAAAACTGTCTTTTCGTAACGAATAGCAAAAATCAAATTTTATAGACAAACCTGCCTTCTACAATGAGATGTTCTACAATTCAAGCATTACGCTACCTATAAAATAAAAAAATTATTGTATTAAAGTTGTTCTTCAGTTAACAGAATTATCTTCAAAGAGAAGAGAAATGAACTGAACGGATACTACAAAAATGTGTACTACTTTAATATGAAGTAACTAATTTTGTTATTTTTAGATGATTCGTATCCGATTTCATGTACCATGGTTTCCAAGCGAATACGAAACATTTTGGGATATAATTGATGTGAAGAAATATCATACGATAAATGATGTTCGAAAATATTTTCATGAGCGACAAATGCAAATTTCGACATTGTATGATCTAAAATTACCTAAACGTACCAAAAAATTACATTATATAAAACTATTAATGAATGAATGTGTATTGTCACCCTTTATCAGTTCAAATGTACTGCGAGATGAAGATGAAATTTAGTAAGCGAAAGTGAGAAAGTATCAGATATTTCACTATATGTTTTTCTCTCTCACTGTCTGTCTGCAAAGTATAAAAGCTTGCATCATTCGTTGATAAAGCTATGAATATAATGTACGTGCTACCTTTTTTGTCTTTTATAGTGTACAGCTGGAATCTAACGCTGAGAATCAGTGGCTACTTTGTCAACCAGTTGCGTTAAGAAAAAAGTCAATGATAAATAACGGTAATCATGTTGCTCATGCAATACCAGAACAACAAAAAGATATTGATAATCCTAGCTCAGCAAATGTCCCTTCGATTCTGGAAAGTCGTCATGAAGAAGTATCAGCATCTGCAATGAATGAAAAAATGGAAATAGTTTATACCGATAGTATTGATACGGATGTAATTCATCCATTAACAAATGCCGAAAAACAAGAACATGCTTTACATGATATTCTAAGAAACATTGCTGAAAATTCCGGAGACGATGAAACATATCCGACTCATCAGAAACAGCCTTACAGAAGTAAAAATTTTAATTATGACGATGTTCGAATATATTTTGGACGCAAAAAAGGAAGAGCAATGCCACCGAAACCACCGATAATCTCTGCTAAAGTAAGTTCTATTCGCTGAAGTTTATGATGGTATTTAAAATAACTCTCTAGTCTAGTCTCGTGTTTATGAGGTCCTAAAACTGAAATTAATACCCTCCCACTTTCTCATTATAGGTCAATTCATTTATCCCTCGACAATTGCTGACACGACCAACAAAACAGGACAATAATCAGAATATGTAACAAACAATTTGAAGAACAACAGATTGATTTATTCAGCTCTGTACATAATCTTGTATCATTTTTACTATTCAAATGAAATAGAGATGTTCGAGGAACATTGTAAATGCAACATGTTCTCAAGAATGTTACTCAATGGAAAAAAAACGTAGCTTTAAGCCACGGATTTGATTACGTACTTTCCAAAGAATTCATTCCGTCTTCGTTTAAGGAGGAAAAAGATCCGATGTTACGACCTTTTCATCATTGTAAAATTGACTATAATGTGTATTTCGTAAAACAAAACCATTTATACTGCCGAAAGACCATCAGAAAAATTATAGCGTACATTTATTAACGTGCTTCATTTTCATACAATGAATTATTTTATAATAAAAATGAAAACGAAAAGAACATATTTTCTAAAAAGACGCCATCAGTAGTCGAACACCGATAGTCAAAGAAGCAAACATCGATTTACATTGAAGACACAAAAAACAGATAAAAAGTACAGACAAAAAGATATAGAGAAAGAACCAAAATTTACAATACAAAAAACAAATAACATTTTATGTGATGCTGTCGAAAATACAACAGAAAAAATCCGGGAATTTCATCAAAAAAGAGAAAAACGCAGATCAGCTGACTATCAATTTATTGCAATACAAGAATATATATATATTAATAAACAAAAACAACAGAAACATAGTAGTAGAAAATGAACGCAAACTGTGCTGTGTTTCGATTTACAATATCTGCCAATTTTCATTCAACAAACGTCCTAAATTAAATTACAATCTTGATAATTTTACAATACTAACGAATATCATACGTACGAAAATCTCCGACGTTTTGAATTTGTAATAGCAACTGGGGACGCTATATGGTGTCGAGTATTTGGATATGAACGTTTACTGAAAAAGCAATAACAACAAATATTGTCATCGAAAAAGGTCTTCTAAAAGTATGGGGAGAAGAACGGAAGAAATAACCTCACGTACTTGAAGTTCGTCCCCTATCAGAAGTACGTTTTGGCGAAACTTTTTTGAGAATTATAGCTAATAGCTGTAGGCTTCTGCTCTTTCCAGAAAAATTTATTAGGTCACCTAAGAAAATTTTCGGGTCACTCGGATCAAGTTTCGAAAATTTCGTACCACTGCGGGTCGGGTAAAAGAGCCTTCGGGTCGAGTCGGGTTCGGGCCCACATAGAAAATATTGATTCGGGTCGGGTTCAGGTCATCCACCTGAGACCCGATTCGGTCTCTTGTGTAGAGTACTGAAATATTTCACTCAGTGTTTCTACTCACAATATTAGTGATATTGAAATATGCAAAATAAAGACGCTCTATCTCAGTTTAACATGTGAGAATTTACAGTCGAATGCAGTGCATCCGATAGCAAAAATCCGACCGCTTGAAACTATAATATTCTTGGAATACAAGTCTACCAAAAAGTCTGTCTGAGTGACCCTTCAAAATGTAAAATTGATCTGGCTCTTCAAAGAAAGCCTATGGAGGAAAATGATTTATGCCATCGTAATCAGCGCATCGAGCTCTACAAACTGGTATATATCGCAGCGTGGGACTTGGAGACGTTTTTTCGTGAGCACGAATTGTGCTTATCATTCGCTCCTGCGTACTGTCATAGCAAAAGCTTCAAAAGAGTGAGAAAAGACTAAATTTCTTTTATTTTCATTGCACTTACGATGTCTGCCTTGTTATATACGAGTGACTATTGACACTGCCACAATTTTCTTTTTCGTTTGATCGTGTTCGTTTTTTTAACGAACTATCAAAGCTAAAATACAAAAGATAAATTGTAAGATAAAAAGCAAGTTCTTATTGGACGCGTTTGTTCCTAACATGGTTGAAATTGATTTTGAGCGTGGTAAATTAAATTTTCTTGATGAGTTAGATTCATTTGTTGTTGTTGAGATATAACTACGACTAGAATAAAAGAACATTTTTATCTATCGGCTTTTCTCGAGTACAAACAGCATTAATCACGTTTTATCATTGATCAAATTATTCGACGACGAATACAAAATATTACTATTATTCGTTAGAGAGCTTGAATGTGTTATATGATTCTGATAGGCGGGTTGTAAGAATCGTACGGACATTCTTGAACGTAACTCTAACATTGTACTACCTGTAAGATTGCTACAAATAAACAAACATCATTCAGTAATACGACTCTTTTCTTTGTTTCTGTTACCTTGTATAAGAATAATCATTTAGAATGTCAGATCGATTAGTGGCCAATTTTTGACTTGAGGATATTAGCTCAGGATTTTGTACTATTGATGATATTGATGTGATATTTTCTGATGATTCCGGAGAAATATTCCTAGTATTTGTGACAGCCACTCTTCCTCGTCTAGCCCTAAATTTAATGAAAAAGTTAATTTTAAGAGAAAATAATCTGAATGAACTGGCTTTACAGAGAGTAAGAGGAAATTTCGATTCTCAGAAGAGATAAATAAACAATTCTTTAAGTCTGAATAAGACGTATTATATCCAGATTTATCGCATTACACATAATCTCTTATTCACTAAAGATACATTTTTTCCTAGATCTTAATTATCAGTAAACTGTAGCATACCGTCTGCTTTTTTCATTTAATGATGGTTGTTTTTTAACTTTTTCATGCAATCTCTCACGTACAGGTAAGCTTCGTTTACTTCCTTCTAATCTAGAAAGCAAACATGAATTTCAAGAACAATACAAATTCAAATAGTCAACACTTACGATGTCGATTTATGTGGAACCGTCGTTAAACGAACGGCTTTCAAATTATGAATCATAATATCAAGTTCAGTATTCGCTTCATCTGCCCTAAAGAGAGCAAAATGTGAATTAGAAAGAGAGCGAAACTTTTAACAAAAAGACTACGTACGTTAAAATACTTTCGAAACTTTTCCAATCGATTAAACGATAATTAGATGATAATGTATTTTCTATATTGTATTCAAAAACTAACGAATATTTAGCCACTAAAAGTTAGAAATATACTTAAAGTTCATAAACAACGGTATTTTATTTTCAACTTACATTTAGTACAAATTTTATCATTAATAAATATTTTCTGTTCTTTCACTAACTGACGTAATAATTTTTGTCTGGTTTGTTCTGTCAAACTTTGTGTATGTGTACGACGACATTGGATTTTTCTTAATGCTCGTTGATTTTTCACCCAACGTTCATATAATCTAAAACGAAATAAAAGAAATAAGTTGCTACATACAACAGGCTAAAAAACACAGTGCTTTTTGAAAACTTACTTTCGATCCTTTTGTTCTTCAAGCTTATTTTTATAATGCCTTGCTAGAATATCATCTGCTTTCTCCTCCTCAATGTCGCTTTCATCATTACATTGTTGTTTGACATCATTCGTAGATAGAACACGCCATCTTGGTACTATAACAAATAAAAAAGTTTATTTTTAAAGTAAAGAAACGTTTTCACCACCGATCGTTACCTTCGATTACTGATTTAGTTATCATCGTTTCATTCAAAGAGACTCTTTTAAATGATAATGTGTCTAATGCAGGATCCCGTTGTTTTTGTGTCAATCTTAAACTATGTCGCTGCTGCTGTTTATGCTCAGTAGTTGTAATTACTGGTTTTGTTTGCGCTTTGATATGATTTCTCACTTTAGCTTCATTCAGTGAGGCTATTAAAATTGTATTTCGATTATTTATTTGTCTCATTTTATTCGTACTACGATGATTCCGTGTTTCTTGTTTTTTTTTTGTACTGGTACTCGTTTTAACTTAAAAAAAACAAAGAATCCTTATTCGAATCAAACAAGAAATATTGGTCAAAAAACTTACATTCTCGAGTTTATAATACGATTGACCAAATGATTTGAATTCCAAAAATTATATCGTTGCTGCATCTATTCTCTTCTAAAAATGAATGAGTAGCATCAAACATGTTTAACTATGATAAATAGTAATTATAACAGTTTAAAAAAAAAAGCGATTTATTCTTAGAACGTAGAGCGCGATAAATTAATCTTTCACTCAAACGAAAATATAATTTTCATACAATTATTCTCTGCCGTTCTTAAGAAGACAGAAGACAAAGAGTATTGTGCTATAATTTCTGTCGAACACAAGTTGTAAATTAAAAGATATGTTTGGCTCCATTTTTAATTCCCGGACATTTGTCTTCGAACAGGCTTCTTTTCATGTGTATACATGTGCAGAGGTCTGTGCACTCTTCCATCTCTTTTCATTAACATACGCTAGATTTTTTTTTAATGCATACTACTTCTGCAGAGAATGTCTTTTTGAAAGTACGGTATCTGCCAATCTTACATTAGTGCACTTTGTCACTGTTTGTCTTCGTACTATTCCTATGCGCAAAGTGTTTGTTTCACTGAAATGCATACCGTATCCATAAGTAACTGAAAAAAATTAACAGTTAATTGTCGATAACAATGAGTGACCAAACAAATAACACATTTAAATTTTAAGTTCTACTTGAAAATATTTACACAAAAATGTTTTTAATTACATAGACCAGTTACTCATCTTTTTTCTGTGTATACATCCACTTCTACAGGTCGCTTTCGTACCCTTTATGTACTTCTACAGATTGATCACACTTCTAGGGGTTGTCCCTTTTTTTACTGAGAGACTGAACTGAACTGAACTGAGTTTCTGAGTCACTAGATCGTAATTTTTCTATCACCCAATCAGAAAAGTTCAGTAAAATCAGTTTCTCAGTAAAAAAAGGGACAACCCTGCTAGGTAGCGATATAATTAGATAGATAGGTATGTATATAACATAACAGAAAAAAAAGTTATTGGTTGCATGTATCTTTTTTAATTGGATAGACTCTGAGAGGAATTGTAAACGCGAATAATAGATGACTCTAGTTATGGAAAGCTGTAGCAGATAAAATTGATGTGGTTGGAATCTATCTTTTCACTTATGTTTCAGGGAGTGGCAATAAAGTATATTAACAAAATCACCACCACATCCAGTGACTATTTGTCTAAGAGACTAGCGCAAAGAACATTTAAATGTGTCTTTATCCCACCGCAACGTTGTGGTGGGAATATGAGGCTAATGCGATCAGTCGACAGATTACTAAAGAAAAAGAAACATGATTAATTAACACACTAAATTAAATAATTCGTTGAGCACCTAAAAAGCTTAAAATGATGAAGAAGCCTTCTTCATCGGCTTACAGTGGAGTACTTTGCGGCAAAGTACTCCACTGTTAAACCTCAAACTTTCAATTTTTCCGTTACCGTCTGTGCATCGTATGAAATCACGTGATTGACACCGGGACACTGAGACATTAGAAAATTCCATTTGGTTTTGTCAGACACTTTGGTTAATACTATATAGTCCAAGTGCAGTGTGTTCTAATGGTCATCATAAATTGTATATGAGTCCATATGTCAGAGCCAACGACAGTAAATAATACGAACCTCAGTATAATTAATGTTTGTTAATGGCAATTATTTTGCGGAACATCAGTGGCATTGTCAGGCAAAAAGTTGCAAATTAACCCGGTCGATTAAAACTAGCTGAGTTATAACTAGCTGGAGTTAAAGTTAATTATAACAACTTTTTTAGAAATTTTCTCAACTTTCCACTTTCAAAAAACAGTTTTAAACCCATCAATGGTCTACTGTCGTCGGCTTCGGCATATTGTCCCATATGCCATTTATAGTGACCATTAAAACACGCTGCACTTGGACTACATGGTATTAAGCCCAGTGTCTGACAAAACCAAATGGAATCTTCTAATATCTAATGTACCTGGTCGGACGTACTGTTGTATAATTGGTAGTAACGAGGCTGCATCACGATGATTAACAGTACAACAAAACATTCTTTGTTGTCCCTATCAACACCACCGAATATCCACTAATTCTGTGTGACACGACCACGATTGTATTTTTTTTCGTTCATGCACTTTCGTCGATCTCCACCGCGTGTTCAACACCTCCAATCACTGTTGGATGCCTTAAAAAACGCTCAGCGCAAATATCATGAAAAAAATTTTCTGTTTTTTTGTCTAGTGTATACTTGCTACTGATCAAGTAACTGACTAATTGAATAGGGCGGAACTTTTGCTCAAGAAAACTACTGTTTTTGTCGGACAAAATGCTTATTGCGTCTCCAGCGCAGAAGAACAGTTACAACTAGCTCTTTAATGCTGTACAAGGCTACAAATGCCAGCTTTAGGTCCATATGAATTGTACCTGTAACCGTCTTTTTAATATTCACATTGAATTACGAGAAGGCATCACCATTAGAAGGAGAAATTTTGGTTTGATTCGTCTGTATTTGTTAATTAACTTTGTTTCATTAGACTGCAATATTAAAAAGAGTTAAACTTTTATTGAAGATAATCATGCTGTTCGCACTCACATTCACAATAACGATAAAATCATTCCAACATATCTCGCCGGATAGATCAAACGTCGCTGGGGTTTCTCGAGACACCAACTGAGTCCCTCAGTGTCCTTGACTTAATTTGGTTCTGTAAAAGAGCATACATGCAACGATAAAAATACTTGGAAAAAAAATTGATTTGACTTATTTGGTTTGTTCTCTATCATATCAAGTTAAATTCGAAGCTCACATTGGTAGATACTGAAGTCTGTTCCTCTCTTGTAGGAACGAGACCGCTTGGATTGACAGTTCGTACTTAGAATTGCTCGGGTCTGAAACGTGCTTCTCTGAGAGAATATTCGAGAGCAGTAATCTTTTTAAAAAATTATACTGTTCAAATACATTGGATATATAGAGAAAAGAAACTTCGCGAATAGCGGAAGAAATTCAGCTTTCTAGACTTTTTTCCGCACTTTGTATTAATATATCTATAAAATAAATCACTACCCTTCCTGAATCTGCTGATTTGACTATGCGTCTGTATTGTGGCTAATAGTTTTTTCTTTTACACATACGGCAGAAAGTGAAGAAAATGGTTTCTCCCGCATTTCGTTAGAAGTACTTCCATTTTGTTTCAATTTTTTTCTACTTTTCAAACTTCTAGAGGTGGTAACACAGTTTTCAATTCACAAACCCATAAAGTCTCACCAATAAAGACAGAAATTATGCAATAATTTCGACCAATCGTGCGAAATTTTTATGACGAGATTCTATTGGGATTTGCTTGAGAATAAAAACATATGCATGGAGTGTATATTATTTATTTCAGAAATCTCGTACAGTAACCGATATTTGATTAGTTGATTAAACTATTCATTTTGAATGTGAACTTAGCAACTTTATGAATTTACTAACAAGTTAAACAAATAAATAATATTGGATTGTTGCATTTTCACAGAAAGTAATCAAATGTTAAGTATAAACATTTAACTTTATACAATATACACAGGTGCATTTCTTTCTATAGAGTATGAAGTGTTTAACTTCAATTTCTTGTCTATACCTGAGGCATTTATATGCATAAGGAAATGAACGTCTATGTATATGTATATCAACGATCAAGTTAATCAATTTGTCAAATTGACAAATAAATCCATAACACAATTGAACTGATAAGCAGAGTTGAATAATAAATTATTATTCGTGGGTAGTATCGAAGTCTTATCAAAAAAAACAAATTAATCATTATTGTCAACTTTATGCCTTATCTCTCTTTCTCTCTCTCTCTTAAAGTAAATCCTATTTTACCACTACATTGTACTTAAGTGAAAAGGATGTTGATGTTTACTAAAAGCAAAAAGTAAATTTTTATAAAGATGGGATAATGAACGGGGAGGAGTAAACATTTACTTTTTGACGTCCATTTAGAGAGACATCCGGAATAGACAATTAAAATACCATGATGAACAAAGATCTACAAGTCGAATGAATAGGCGTCATAGGAAGGATGGTATATATTAATTCGCTGATTGTACCTGATTGACACTTGTTTGTCACTTTTTTAACCCACTAAAACGTGCTTAGAAAATAGTCACTAAACCAATCGACAATTCACTTCATGTTTTTATTGTTTTAAACTTGTTCTAATTAATCAGCAAACGCCCATTTACATGTTTCAACAAAACGCCTTATCAGTTGATTAGGACATGCATGGATTGTATTTTAACTGTGTTAAAACTATACACATAAATATGTCACTTTCCTCGTAGATGTATATACAGGTGGATTCAGAATGCGTGAGACAAAATAGTTTCTGAGAACTTGTGGTGGTTTTGATAAGAAGACTAGCGGTATCAAGTCCACTGAGTAAAACTGATTTTTTTTCTTTCTCTTTAAATCCACTACCGACAAGTGCGATATAGGTCGTATTGAATCAATTTTAATTGTACACATCTTTTTCTCTATTGTCTGTATTGTTAATCGAATATACGTAGTGTGTCACCCCATACCAGAAGAAATGAAAGATGATTAAGTTTCGATATAATCAAATGTATCAACGTTCTTTTCTTTTCTAGAGAAAGAGTAAAACCGATAAGATATAATTAAATTTTGTTGTTTTTATAATGATTTATCAACAATTGTGTGGCTGTATTTCTTGAATGCATCAGCACCTGCACATACCTCGAGGCAGAGAGAGAAAAAGTAAAACCCAATAACAAAACATATACACTTTATTAATTATGCATAAACGTAATTTTGTAGAAAAGATCAATTTCTTCGCTTTCGCTTGTATTCGTGACAATAGGTGTCTGTGTATGTGTGAAAGAGAGAGAAAAAGACTTATCACGAAAACAAAAAAAATATTTAATTTCGTTCACTCTGTTAGTGGGTGGTAAGAATGTTCTTTAAGGCAAGACTAATTAATAAATAGTACAAACACACGACGGCAGAGTTTAGTCTCAGAATCCATCACATCCATTACCATTGATATTTATGGCGTTTGTATCTTTTCACTGAATTGAGTGAGTGAGTATATATTCGACCATCAAGTAACATACTGACATACCGATAAAAATACTGTAATCGATTATTATCTAAAACTGTGTTAGATCTGAAACAAAAGGATATTAAATCTTGAAATGATGCAAAGATCATACTCGACATATGTTTTTTGTGTATTCACTTCGTTAACATTGCCGAAGTGTCGATAACCTCATCTGACTATTAACTGTCTAGATTCAAAAAACATTCTTCCATTGTTCAAAAGACGAAAAAATTCTCTAACCTCATCTAAATTCATAATCCAAGTACATTCAGTGATCGTTTCTATATGAAACATAGTTTGATGTTTATTATGTTTGATCTTTCTAATTATTGTGAAGGTTGATAAAATTCATAATATTGAAGTAGGAAATTAACTTTCAATTAGTAGGTATTAATGATCATGTAATATTGAAGGAAACATGTAACAGTATATGTATCATTTAAGTAATAAATAATATATCTTCGAGCAACTACGGCGGTATACGTCGAGTGATATGCGTAATTTATATGATTCTCTTTTCGAATTAAAGTGGATGTAAATTGAATGGTTGATTAAAGTTAAATTGTCGTATGAAAGAAAAGCGTCTTTAGATACAACATTTCCTCTCCCCTATTTTTTTGTTTTATTCTACCGTATCATGGTACTTCAATTTGAGATCAAATACATGAAACGAATAGCAGTAGAAAAGCAACAAAAAAAAAGAAGTTGAAGTAGATGAATATTGACCTGCGTACAAATAATGTTACGTGAGTTCATATCAATTTACAATGTGATCTATTGGAATAAACGACGGTACTTATCATCATATTTCAATAAGATCAAAGTTTTCTAAATTCAATAATAAAAACAAAAGGCATATCATAACAAAGAAAGAGAATTGATATCGACTATTTAACGTTTCCAATTCAATACTTATCAAAACTATTATCAACAACAAGTTAAACAATATATTTCACAAAACGTTTTCAATAGTTGAAGTAGAATATTATCATTCTTTTTATATTCGTTGAGTTAATACTACATAACATTTTAGAACTGTAAATTTTGGAGAAAACAAAAAAAGAAAGTTGTATTTGTCAATGAATGTTAGTTATTACCAAAGATTTAGAATAAAATAGTTGACTCTATGAACAACTTGCTAGTATCATTGATATGTCACTCTTCTTTTTCTCTCTAATGAAGAAAATTTATTGTGTAAATTATTTCAAGTAGTTATCATCGTCACCTCCACATTCAAGTATATTGTATCACACTTCTATACAAAAATTAGAAATTCAAAGTATTATTGAAGTACATCTTCATGCATAAGTCAAGTAGATGAAGATATATGAACAATATGTTTACTATTTACAATTCATTTTTGGTGACACGTGTTTGCCATCACACTCTAGATAGAGTGGAAAAAAAAAATCGAAAATTTTTAAAATAAAATCATGTATAATTATGTGTATGTTAAAAATCATGAAAATTAAATAGATTTTAAATTTGATATTATAACGCGTGTCAAAATTAAACACACACTATTATTCTAAGATGATCTTTTCCTATATTTCCGTTTTTGACACTAAATTATATATGTACAGCTAATGTTTATCGGATACAAGAGTTTATGTTGTTTTTTTTACTTCAAATTCTATTGACTTTTGTCAAGATAAGTTTTCAATATATATTCCAATTAGACCGATATATTTTATTTGAATATATAATCTTAAACAATTTTTAATAGTCTGTCTATAAGTAGTTGATCAATATTATATAAATTATGTTAGTCTAGAGTATTAGTCTTACACTAATGAATTATAGCACGTTCTATGATCATCATCATCATCATCATCATCATGATCAAATCAGATATAAAATGATTTAATTTTTGACACTATTAAATATTAAGTAAATAAGTTATATGAGTGTCTCATATTTATTTGATAGCCTCTAGAATTTATTTTCACACTTAAATAAAACTAATTTATTATCATTCTGTACCTATTTAATTATGTTTTTTTTTGCTTTTCTTTCGGATGATACATTTAATCACTTATTTTATTGTCGTTATATCTTATCAAAACAAAACAAAACTCAATGAAATGTTCAAAATATTCTACTACGCTTTTTCATACGTTAATAATGAAAATAGTCACTTTAATATTTCTCATTTAATCATCAATATCTATCGTATATAACTCAACTTGAGAATATCTTCATATAGGAAAGAAATCTTTCAGTCAAATTTTCATTAGTCAATAATTCAACACACAATAAGAACTGTTAATCCCTAATCTGATGTATATATTAAATGGCATATTTTAAATGAATAATAATGACATATTGATCTTCTTATCTTCACATAATTGTTTTTATGAATTGCTGATAAGTTTTTTATTTTTTGTCAAGTGTCAATGTGGATGTAGAAGCAGAAAAAGAAAAAAAAGTAGAAAATAATTATCAATTAATTTAACAACTATTTCATAGATGATCTCGAGTTGTAACATGAAATAGGATGATCGAAAGTTAATTGAATTGAAATTCTACTACTACTACTACTATCACAAAACTTGATTGTCAATTAAAATTTTGGCAGGATAACGAATATTTTGATTTTTTTTTCGTCTAAACACATCACAATATTAACATTTAGTATGTACTTGTTAATTGTACATAGAATCGCGTGTTAAAGAGAAAAAAAAACTGATTTTGATTGACATTTGTATGTGTATTCAACAAAATTGGTGAACAATTGGCTTTAAAAATATGTAGAGAAGGGAAAAAAATTCATGTTAATCATAATGTTAATAAGTAGATAAGTTTTTTAAATTGCATTTAATGAAGTGAAAAATAAAATCAATTTTTGATTTTATTGAATCAAATCAGACTTAACAATTTCATTAATTCTGTACAATAGGATAAGCACAATATCGATTTTTATACAATAGATAGAGTAACTTTGCATACTATTGAAATAAATTGATGCATTTTAGATTTACGATAGTTTTTAAAAGCGAATATATCCGAAAGTTGGAACAATAGAGGTTAACTTCTTCATTCTTAGTAAACCTCATAGAATCTCTATTAAGATTTGATTCTTCAACGGTTATAAACATACAATGATAAAACAATCGCATTCCTTAGACGGAAAAAGTATGAAAAGAGAACGGTGCTTGGGCTGAATGGAGAATGGAGTGAAAATTATTAAATTTTTACACTGTTGAGAGAACGGGACTGAAAAGCTAGTTAGTAAAAAAAAGTTAGTTAATTTTTTCACTGTGTTTGTACAGTTCTAAAGTAAAATTTTTTATACGCATGCTTCTTCATATTTACACATCGATACGTAAACAGTAAAAGAATCATATTCTGAGGCCCAATCTACTAGTCTTGCTCTACCTTTTTGAAATATTATATATATTTGCATTTTGTTGTACAATATTTTTTTTCAATTAATGCAAGATATATAGATCATAATTCACTCTTCGAATATACAACAGTTCTCTTTTCAGTCTTTTAAACTCGGAATTCTGAACCGTTCTCTTTTCGACTTTCTCGTCTTATTATTCTGTCCATTCTCTAATCACTCCAGATTTGACCATAAATAGGCAACCGTTCTCTTTTAAGCCCCGATTCCATTCTCTAAAAAATCCTTGTCCTCCTTAGACATCCATGACAAGTTAAGTCATGTGTCATTCAAAACTAAACGAATATTATAAACTAATCGTTGAGTCTTAACAGAAAAAGGCATAACTTTATATCACTAGTACTTTATCTTACATATGTTTATTAAATACATAGAATCGAGCAAAATAAATATTTTATGTAAAAAACAAAGTGAAATTTATTATATACATATACACATAACAAATATCAGAGTACGTGTGTGTGTCAATTAGCACCGAAAAACACAATTGGATGAAACAATTTTTGAATAACTCGTTTGTTTTTCCGTGTGTCAATTTTAATATATATTGCAATATTCACCGATAGATCACGGCGAGAACGATGAATAATACTTCTTAATTGTACCGGGATTTAAACGAACGTATATTCAAGTTAAAATTATTATAGAAACAATCGAAGAAATCGAGTAAACGGTATCACATATTGTAAAATTAAACTTTCATATTGAACTATTTGTATGGAAAATGATGACGATGATGATGATGAAGATGTCTAAAATAAAATAAAATATAAACAAATATATTATCAATCAAATGTTTTGTAAGCAATGTTCCGCATTAGTTACAAAAATAATATACACTAAATATTTATTATTAATCAATATGTGTATGAGAGATAAGAGAAACATTTTTATGGATCATTAATAATAATCGATGCAAGGTGAGTGTAAACATAATGACAGATCTTACTAAATTCATATAATTTAAAATTTAAGTCTAATACTATTGTGATAGTAGTAGGTCATTATTTTACTTTTTATTTAACACTTGACTATTTTGTATAAAAATATAATCATCTTACCTTATTTAATCTATCATCTAATTCATCTCCCACTTTTCTTAACATTTCCGCTACATTTTGTATTGACGATTGACGTTTTTGTTCATTAACTATATCAAGAATTAAATCAGGTAATATTATTTCTTGCCGTGATTCAGGATAAAGTAATTTTTGACAAGTAATTGTAACAGTTGGTGAACAGAGCATAATTGATTGTTGTTTTCGACGATTGTTTTTAATACGTGATAAATTATAGTTCTTTGATGATGATGATGATGATGATGATAATAATTTGACAGTTTTATTTTCTGATGATATCATTTTTTATTATACAGACTATATATATTAAATTGATATTTTATTAACATACGTTCATTTATCGAAATGTTCAAATTGGAAAATGAACTAGACAAGAAAACGAAAATATAACGTCTATGTTTCTCTCTTTCTCTCAATCAGATTGATTGGTTGATTGAAATTTTGAAAAAAACAGAAACGGATAAAAAAAAACGGTACATATAAATATTGAATCGATTAGAGAAAGAGAAAGAGAAATAGACAAGAAGAAGAAGGAAAAAAAAGGGGTGGAGTGACAAAATACTTGACAAAAACGGATATATAAAAGTTTCGATAGAGATGTTATCAGAGAATCAAATATATATACAATATAATTAGATCTTTCTCTCTCTAATCATACTATGTTAGAGAAAAAAAATAATATTATAATGTGCTAAATGGATTGAAGCGTTTTAGTAACACTTTGAATCTTAAACACATTCCATCGTATAATTTTTTAACAACTCACGTTTTGTTTAGGCAAGTGGTAATGAGACAAACGCGTGTCACTGACTGTTCAATTGGTGTTTGATTTTATTTAACAGAAGTATAAGACGAGTAGTCTCTTGATAAAAAAAAGGATGCAAATTAGATGAGTATACGAGATTAAACCCCTTCTCTTGCAATTGGTAAAAATTTTCATGGACATTAGACTATATGATAAATCCACAAGTTTTTCATAATCAATCTCTCTACTTCTTTAGTAAAATTCTAAAATACTTTTAAATGCTTAAAATTTCGTGCTTGAAAATCATTTTCCTCCATTCTAGTGTGATTGATTTATGTTTCTTTAATGATGAAAGTGATATTTAAATCATGTGCCGCTAATTATGTTCGTAGTAAAAAAAGTTGTGTGTGTGTGAGTTTTTTTAATTGTTATAGTCAACTTGTTTTCGGTACAACTACAAATAAAAAAACAAAAACATTTTCATCCCGCCCCATAATTATAAAAAGAGAAAGGAAATTGTTACACGACAGGAGAAAATTATAGGGAATAGTTTATTATTATTCTTAATTTGTTATCGCGCTTAGATGATGATGTCGTTCGTTCCATTTTTACTATGATGACCTATTACTTAAACAATCATATGTTTTTATGATCGTGCTTTGATCTTATTTTTTTTTGTAATTGGCATAGATTTTTAAATCACTGAAAACGCCTTGCCTTATGTACGCATGTAATTTTAAATTGTTACAAAGTACCGTTAAAATACAAACCGTTTTCTTCTTTTAGCCAAATATAGAGAACTTTCTACATCAATTTGACAATTAAAATATGAAATTAATTAATTTGTTATACATTTAACATTCTAGAACAAAAAATGAATATTCCATCTGTTATTTTTTAAACATTCTTTACATTCCATAATTTTATTTTGCTGAAAAAACACGTGGCAAGAAGTACAACTGAATATGACAGTAAGAATATTTAATTTTGAATATCAAAAGAAATATTCTTGATGATAGAATTTTTTTAACAGTTAAATAAACATATATAAACATTACTAAGTGTGTTTGTATCATCGTCTCTTCTTCTTTTTGGTGAGGTGTCATCCGTCCTTGTTTTAACAAGGTAATCATGATAATTCTCCTCCAGCAACTAAAAGAATTGATAAGAGAAGGATTGAGTGAACAAGAGAGTGAACCTTTTTATCTGATTGTTTTGAAAGTGATATCCATTTAGATAACAGTTAACTTTCTTCTTGTTGAAAGAAAAAAAAAGACTCTAGACTTTATTAGCTTGCTTGAAGCATACTTCTGTACAAGAAAATAATTATTAAAAAACAGCACTTTCGTTACTTGTTTGTCGGAAAAATCTTGTCATCCATTGTCTATTATATACCATAGTGTGCATATCCTGAGGAAATTATGTTTTTTTTGTCGAATTATATAAACATATCCACTTATCATGTTTAAATATGAATAAATCCTGAGTTCAAAGTATCATTTTCGGTATATGCCTTTTGGTGATCTTGATTTCCGTTTAAAATACTTGATCAACTACAGTTCCTTAAATGTTCACAACACTTTAGATAGTCTGATCATTTTTATAATACTATTAGATTTATTCACTTGTTATTGATATTTATAAACGGCACAATATGTGAAAATATGTGAAAATTATTATTTATCAAAAGAAAATACAATCAAAACGGCACCTTTGGGATATTATTCGTGTTTGATGATGGTGATGATGGAAAAACAAACGACGGAATTAGCACAGAATGAGTTAACTAATAACAACTTTCTTTTTGATATAAACGTTTATTTATTATATGAAAAGTAGAAAATCAAAGTTCACATAAACGAGAAAGTTCTTAATGTATTGTAGTAGGTTAGTCTGGTATTCTGCCTCTTTCAAGTGACTATATCAATAAAAGTCTCACACTTTCTTTTTGAAAATTGTGTGGAAAAACAACACAATCTTAGAACACTATTATACATAACAGCCTATCATGTACAGAATATAGACGCTCTTAGATAAGAATGATAATAGTGATAGTAGAAGTTTTTAATTAGCAGTTTAAATCAACTCTAGAAAACTATTAATAAATATCCCTTTTTTTTTTGTTAATCGTTTAACAATAAAAAATAATCATTATTTCAATCGCGACACGTGTTAGATAAGCTTAAAGTATTTATCAACATTATGAAGAAGAGGTTGGGCAGCTTGATGAATACTTGTTGTTTTATTTTTCCTCACACTAATACCAGCTCAAGTGAAAGCCAATTATTAATAAATATAATTGCGTTAATTTCCTTCTTTACAGCTTCCAATTTAATATGTGTCTATACTATACGATAAAAAACAACTATTGTTCTCTAAAAAAATCTTAAGTATATACTTTCTCCTATTCATTCAATGAATTCAATTCTAATAACTTCTATTCTCTTAATGACTCAGTGATAAGTTCTATATCTATGAATTGTATTTTGTTCTTAACTAGGATACAGAGATACACACGCGATCTCAAATTTTACTTGTGCTACAGAACTTTCTCTCTCTCTCTCTCTCTCTCTCTCTCTCTCTCTCACAGTGTGTGTGTGCTAGACGTATACATACAGGAAACAGTCTTGCACATGCACACACACCTGCATAGAGTAAAATAAATAAGAACAATACTCAATATCCGGTGCGCACAACAACACGCACTATTTTACACATAAAATGATATTTACTAAATTCAATATATTTCATGTTTTACACATAGGTGACAATATGATAAATGAAGGAAACGTTTTTTTTTTACTATAAGCAAAGGTGTTTTTCAGTAATTACTTGCTGTGAAAGCATCTCATTGTTAACAAGAATAAAACAATAATCATATAGACATACGGTGACTGACTTTATTCACTTCTGGCATGCTGAAAGAAAAGTTTGAATCAATAGACGCATGAAATGATCAGGCTCAAACTATATGGAAGAAATATGTATCTCTAACCTTCAGTAATAGATGTGCTACCCACTCTGACTACTATTCATTGATTACAAATAGGATAGATTTCTCATATAAAACTGAAGAGAAACGCTTCGACGGACTGTAATATTCTCAATCATTGTTTACCGTACGTGCAAGGCATAAAATCGAATACTCAGATAGCGTTTCTCTGTTAGTTTTAATTGTCTGTTTAAGACACAATAGAAATTAGAAAATGTGATAGACTTAATTTTCTGTCTATGTATTCATAAAAATTCTGATTTTTGTCACCATTCTGTAACAAAAAAAAAAGAAAAATTGAGAAAGCCAATTGAATGTGAGTTTTTTTGTATCTTGTGTTTAGACAATCGAACACAGCATGAAACTATTCACGCTTGTTAGTGGTGAGTGACTATCAACTTTCTCTTGATTATAATATAGGGTGAAAAGAACAACAACATAGAGAGAACTGCACAATAAGGTAAAAATAATAGGATACGCCTACCTTCTCAAAAGACACGTGGAATATCGTATATCGCATTATTAATTACGTGAACAACTCCACTTTTAAAATTCCATGGATATCACTATATTCGCATATTCTCTCTAGGTGTTCTAGATACATATGGTCTTTTTTTATGTCCTGAGTATTATTATTATTCATATTGCTCAACTACTAGTTGTTCACTTATCACCACTTTAACTGAATGAATAAGTAAAATGACATACATACACATTGTGTATAATAAATTTACGAAATATCAAACTGATATTCAATATGATGATAAGGATTGGTCATCTCAGACCTAAGTTCGAATGACTTTCAGCACAATAATGTTCGACAGGAACCGTACTACAGAGTGAGAGATCTCTATTTTCTTACAAGGGGTGCAAACTCAGGACTACAGACTGAATGAGTAAGCGTAGCGTGGATTTAGTCACTAATGAAGAGAGGATAAATATTTTCGATTTTAGCATTCTGTCTAAGAATCATTGCACTAGGAATACGATCAGAAGCGGTTGATCCGTGACGTCTCCTGAATTCACTGTAAATTATTGCTGAAGAATAATCCAAACTTCTCCTTGTTCCCAGAATAGACGGACTATACTAATGATGATACTTACATTACACCAAAGACTCCAGGATTCCAGATATCTCTCAAAGTCTTTTGTTCCCACGGACCAGTGTTTAATATTTACCAAATTTTCATTTCATTTTTTTAAACAATAACGTTGTGCGATGTTGTCATAAGTCTGGCTTACGCGGGATCTAGGTTTACCGCGGTTCTTGATAAATGGTCTAGTGAAATACATTCAGTTTTTTGTTCCGTCTATGAATAAAACTGTTAATATCAAAAAAATAGTTGGTTTTCCTTTTTTATAGTATTAATACAAGTACCGGGATTTGTACAGTCTGTCTATTCTGGGAACAAGGAGATGTTTGGATTATTCTTCAGCAATAATTTACAGTGGATTTAGGAGACGTCACGGATCAACCGCTTCTGATCGTATTCCTAGTGCAATGATTCTTAGACAGAATGCTAAAATTGAAAATATTTATCCTCT